GACACGTCACCTTGCCTCCCCTCCCCAGTGTGGACCTGTCCCAAGATCATGCATTTCTGCACGGCTGGGGATGGGCCGGGCCATGGTCCACTGATGGCGCGGGTGTTCTGTGCATGGGAGAGGGGCCCCCGGGTGAGAAGGGGGTCCCCCTGACAGAGAGGGGAAGGGGGCCCTGGCTGAGAGAGGAGAAGGGGGCCCCGGGTGAGAGAGAGGGGAAGGGGGCCCCGGGTGAGAGAGAGGAGGGGGTCCCCAGGTGAGAGAGAGGGGAAGGGGGCCCCCAGGTGAGAGAGGAGGGGGTCCCCGGGTGAGAGAAGGGGGCCCTGGGTGAGAGAGAGAAGGGGGCCCCGGGTGAGAGAGAAGGGGGCCCCCAGGTCAGAGAGGAGGGGGTCCCCGGGTGAGAGAGAGAAGGGGTCCCCGGGTGAGAGAGAAGGGGGCCCCCAGGTGAGAGGGGGAGGGGGCCCAGCTGAGTGCCCTCCGTGCCAGTGGCGGCAACCCCTTTGACGGCGACTGGCATCTGTGGGGCACAGGCCTGCGCCTGTGAACTGAAGGTGCCAGAAGGAGGGTCTGTGTGACTTTCTTCAGTTAAGTGTGTGCTGACCAAGTGGGCAGAGCTGGCCGGGCTTGACCTCGCGAACACAGTGACGTGCTAGGCGCTGAAACTGGGCTCGTTGTCGAGCCCCGTGGACCCGTCTGTCACTAGGTGTGAAACAGACACTCAGTCACAATGTCTAGAAGAACCAGAGTTTATTTCTGATCCACTCGCGTGATTTTTCCTTAATTCCCCCATTTAAATGCAGCATGCGCTCCCACAGTCGTGCATGAAGACAGAGCTTGGATCCCAGCTGGGGTTTCAGAGGTAACACGGCTCACGCTGTGCTGTTAGTGCCAAGGGGAGAGGGGGTTCAGACTCACCTCATCTTTAAGATGTGACTTGGTGACGAGTAGGAGACACACATCATGTAAACCTTGCCTGCTTTAAAAAACGTTTGCCACACTAGGTCTTGGCTGTGCACACGGGCTTAGCTGGGTCACACGGGGTCTTAGCTGTGCACATGGGCTTAGCTGGGTCACACAGGGTCTTAGCTGTGCACACGGGCTTAGCTGGGTCACACGGGGTCTTAGCTGTGGTGCTCACGGGTTTAGCTGCTCCACAGTGTGTGGGATCTTAGTCCCCCAATCAGGGATTGAACCCCCACCCCCTGTATTGGAAGGCAGATTCTTAACAACCAGAGACATCCCCACATCTTGTCTGCTTTTAAAAGTAACTTCAAAAGATGCATTATTTGGGGCCTGCCTTCATTTATTCTATAGTGGTTTCATGACAGGGGCTTCCCTGATATGCCTTGAAATGAGTTGGCGTGCAGGTGTGTCCATCTGGATGTAAAATGAGGTCAGACCCTCCATCAGTTTATTTCTGACTGTACCATGTGGGCATCGTCCAAAGCAAATGAGCTGCCTCTGCAGCTCAGCTGCAGCGTTGGGATGGAGGTGTATTTAAAGCACGTGAGCGTTTTGTAAAAAATGGTTTTGACAGCAGTCTCCAGGCTCACAGACAGGAGCCGCCTGGGAGCATGCTGGCAGTGCCCTCCTTGCTGTGCAGCGGGGTTTCCCCTTTGATGCTTCCTGGTTACAGTTTAGTATGTCTTGTTCTCAATGGGTTTGTGCTACTAACTACAGCGGTAACTCAGCTTTTCAGATGCAAAACATTCACTCCTAGAAAGTGCATTAAAATACACTTTAAGGATAAGTGGAATTGCCATTTATGGACATGTTTTTAGCAGGGAAGTGTGCTAGGGTGATGGAAGACTTGAAAGCGTGACAGGGACTCCTGTAAAATTCCAGCGGAGGCCGGAATGTGGACCCAGAGGCCGTGCGGGGGCCGGGGGCGGGGCGTCTGCAGTGAGACTCCACAGGCACGGCTGTGCCCATGGGTGGCTTGTCTTCCGTGCGAGGCCATTCGGCATCCCCGTACCCGAGTGCGCCTGCCTGCCCCACCATCCAGGGTCAGGGCCATGTTCCTGCGTCAGAGAAACCTTTCTGGGGTTGGGTGCTTGTCTTCTTTGTGGTCAGTGTTTTTTTAAGTGTAGTGTTATGAAAAAAGACAGTGATGGTTTTTGTGAAGGAAGTGGGACAGAAGGAGCTGCTGAGCAGGTGTCAGGGAAGGGGAGGGGGAGGCAGCTTCCGTCCGTCCTCCTCCCGGGAGCGCTGTGCTCCATGTGTCAGGGACCCTGCGTGCCCCTGGTTGGTGGGCGTGCAGGGTGAGGCGGGGTCCACCCCAGAGGCCGGGGGCCCGCGCGCCGCCTGTTTGGAGGACGCAGGAGGTCGTGCTCTATTTCAGGAGCCACCGGGGACTCTGCACCAAGCCCGGGGGAAGGCGATGTCTGTGCCAGCCCAGGAGCCTGGCTGTGGGGCAGCCTCACTGTGCCCGGCGCCCTGCCCTGCGTCCAGGTGCAGCTGCTGCAGGTGAGGGCACGCGTCACCCAGACACCCCCCCGCCCCAGTCTGTCACGCCGCGGTGTCCATGCTCTCCCTGGTCAGGATCTGGGCTCCCCATCTGGCGGGACGCAGTCGCCTTCAGCCTTGCCTTCCAGGGCTGGCAGGGGATGGGGAGGGGAGAGGCGTCCACACCGAGGATGTGCGGCTCTGACCCCTGGTGCATCTTCACTGAGCGCCTTTGTGTTGGCGGCTGTGGGCCTTGGGGCTGAGCTTGGCCATGGGAGCAGGGAGGGCAGGCGGCCGACCCCTAGCTCCTGACGCCGTGGGCCTCGGGAGGACGGGCTGGGCCGGCACGGCCACGTCCAGGGGGCAGCCTCCTGGGACCGGGGTCCCCGACATGGTGCTCTTGCTTCCGCAGGACGAACCGTCAGGGGATGGGGTCTTGCCCCCGGCGCTCAGCCCGCAGCCCCCCGCCTTCCACCCCCTGCTTGCCGTCGACCTGCCCGTCTACGTCCTCCAGGTTCGGGGCCCCACGAAACTCGTCCCTGAGGTGGACTCGCCCTGGGCCTCTGGCCACGTGGCCACAGTGTTTTGTGGAGGGGCGGTGAGGGTGTGAGCAGTACAGGCTGAGCCTGCAGCTCAGGTTCACACGTCTTGGTGGGCAAGGTGGCATTTCACGTATTCAAGTTCATGTGTTCAGGCCTGTGACAGTTGGGCTGGCTGGGTTTCAGCCTTTGCGGATAGGCCCAAGCAGGTTAAATGGTTTGCTGGGGTCAGTGGTTAAGCTGCGTGTGGACAGCAGTGGATAATTCAGATTTGGATAGATAAGGGTGATCTCTGTGCTTTATCAGATTTGAAACACGTATGTAAAAATCAGATAGTAACTTTGGTTTTCTTATATTCAACTTGGGCTGTGGCATTAGAAGTGGACATTGGATGGAGCTTGGAGGCCCCTGGTCGCAACATCCAGAAGGCCTCACAGCATCCCTCCGCCCGCAGGGCGGCCCTCATCCTGGGCCCCTTCCTGGGGCAGCAGGGGGTGGGTGCTGATCAGTGTCCCTGGAGGTCTGGAGCCCAGTGCTCGGGCGGCTTCCTAGAGGCAGCGGCTGGAGCCCATCCACACAGGGCTGGCTGGGGCGGGGGATCCCCCCCTCTGAGGAGACTGGGGCCCATCCACGCGGGGCCTGCCAGGGCAGGGGGAGTCCCCCGTCTGAGGAGACCGGGGCCCATCCACGCGGGGCTGGCCCGGGCCGGGGGGTCCCCCCTCTGAGGAGACCGGGGCGGGGACTGAGCTCACCTCTCTGCAGTTTTGTCGGTGATGGAATCTTTCCCTTGAAGTGACACACACCTGAACTGGGGGAGGGCGAGTGGGTTCAGCCTGGGCGGCCGAGCTCACTGCTGTGCTTGCTTTGCAGGAAGTGCTGCCTGCGGGCGGAGGCGCCGCAGGGCCCAAGGAGGCGCCATGCTCGGGAGGCGCGGCTGCTCTGCAGGCTCTGCCGTGACCCACCTGGCCGGGCCCGGGGTGCTGCTGGGCGGCCAGGCCCGTTCTTCAGAGGCTCTGGGGCGCGGTGTTGAGGGTTTCTGTTCCGCTCTGTCGGGTGGTTGGGCTGGGCCTCCCGCCCGGGCTGCGAGAGCGGGTGCTGGTCTCCCTGCTCGGACACGGGGGGCCTCTGAGGACGGCAGGGCCCCCAGCCAACAGGCCAAGGATGCGGGGCGCCCTGCAGGCTCTGCTGCAGCCCACACACTGGCAGAGTGTCCAGCTTCCTTAGTTTTTATTTGGGCGTCGGTGTCTCGTGACAGCCGACAGCGGTTTGCAAAGCTGTCCTCCGTGCACCGAGGCGTGTGCCGGACCCTGACCCTGGCCTGGGGCCACTCAGGTGTGCACCAGGCGTGTGTGCCGGCCCTCAGTGTGCGCCCGCCCTGCAGGAGGACGCGAGTTGTGGCTGTGCACAGTTACTGCCTGTGGGAATGACCCCCTTTCCATGGTGACCCCCGGTGTCCTGCGGGGGCAGGGGTGGGGGCTGTGTCCTCATCTGTAGATGGATCTCAGCTGCCTCACCGGCACCTCAGCTCCCTGCTTGTCCAGAGTGCCCTGGACACGCAGCCTCCGGGCCAGGGTTGGGCCTTTGTCCCCCGAGGTGCTTGGGACCGGCTTCCGTTTCCCATGCACTGAGGTCCCTGCTGCTTTGGGGCCCAGCTCTTTGTGTGAGTGAATAAAAGTTTTTGTAGCCGAGCCGGAAGCTTGGGCATTCTTTCCCTCGACCGCAGCACTAGCGTCCTCTCCTCGCCGTGGTTTGGGGCCAATTCCCTCCCCTCGGGGTGGGCCAGGCATCCTCCTCTGGGGGTTTAAATCTAAGCAGAGGTTTCTGCTGACAGTCAGAGACGCTGGGAGCAGAAAGGAGGAGCAGGCCTGTCCCTGGAAAAGCGGGGAGGACGGCCCTGTGGGCTGAGGGCCCTGCCCCCGCGTGCCCCCTGTGTGCCGGGCAGAGGCTGGCCCGCCCCGGGGTCCGGCCAGAGGAGCTGCGTTGGGCCCCATGGGCGCGAGGGAGGGGCCTCCCGGGCCCCTAGGGGGGTCCAGGCGCCGGGTCCAGGGGGCCGCCCAGCCGCGCCCCAGCCCACAGCGGCCCGTGGGCGAGGAAGCAGAGCGCCAGCAGGCCCGTGCCCAGCAGGTCGCCCAGCCCTGTGAGGCATGGGATGCAGTGGTCGTCTGGGTCCAGGGCCTGCCGCCACGCCAGCCGGACCGCCACGTCCGCCAGGTGCAGCAGGACCACCACCTGTGGGGCGAGAGGCGGGGTGATGGCCGTGCAGGAGGGGCCGCGGGCCTCTGGCTGGAGGTGCCGATGGGCGCGCCGTCCCGGGCCCCATGCCGCCCCGGCTCCCCTCGGCCCGAAGCACGTCTCTACCCAAAGCCTTGGGCCAGCTCTACTTCTCGGGCTTGCCAGAAGCCTGTGTGGAGGTGCCCTGTGCGTAGTCAGGCCTCGGCCCCGAAGCCGCTTGTCCAGGCCATCCTGCCTGGCGCTGCTCTGGACGGCCTCCCGGGCTCCCTGCCTACCCTTTGGGGTCACAGCCGTGCCGAGGTGCCCTCACGGGGCCGCCCCCAGGGCCTGGGCAGATGGGCTGCCAGCAGAAGCCCACACGCACCCTTAGGAGCCCCTGGCTGGCCTTGCCCATCACGGGACCCAGCCTCCGCCACTGCCCTGACTCTGCTGGGGAGGCGCCAGCAGTGCCTCTGGACACGGCCCCTGGGCCGGACCAGCCGACCGAACCTCCGGGAGGCGGAGACTACGTCCTGCTTGTCCAGGGACCCCTCCCAGGCCGGGGCGCGGTGGCCGTCCTTACCTGGACAAGACCCGCCAGCAGGTACAGGAGCACGAAGGTCCCGTCGCTCGGGACCGACTGGCTTTCTAGCAGGGAGACGACGGAGAAGAAGGCCAAGTGGCCGGGCACCACAAGCAGCAGCAGGACGCGGGCCGACGTGGCGCTGAGTTCTGTGGGAGGCAGGGCCGTGGCTGAGCGGCGACCGCAGTGCGGTGGCCACATGCACTTTCCGCCACACGCGTCACGGAGCCGCTGCGTGTCCTCCCCACGGGTGCAGCCAGCACTCCTGGGAGCCGGCGTCGGAGCAACAACCAGGATGGAGCCACAGCAGCAAGCAGGGCGACTAGGAGGCGATGCGGCTGGCTGTGACGGAGGTAGACGCAGATGCCCCAGCAGAGGGGCAGGACCCACAGCAGCTTCCAGAGGCCGCCGTGCAGACGTGCTAGGGCCAAGGCCAGCGGCTTCCAGAGGCCGCCGTGTGGGCGCGCTGGGACCAAGGCCAGGGACCCCTTGGTACAGTCCTCAGCGGCTGTGCGTGCGGCTCCGGGGCTGCGAGAGACACGCTTTCCTGCTGAGACTGCAGGCTTAGAGCCAGCCCATGATGCGGGGGTCTCAGTGAGAGCCAGGCTCCATCTGCTCTGAGTTAACACAGCATCTCATCAGCTAGGTGGGGAGGACAGCAGTCATGCGGACGTAACGTAAAACACCCTGGAGAGGCTGCGCCAGACCTCTTCATGGTGACAAACTGCACAAGTCCTGATAGTTAAAAAGGATCCTTTTTTAAAAAAACTTAGAAAGGGAAAAGTTAGTTGTTACTATCAGCAGGTGGCGTGAAGACTCAGGAAAATCCATTGAAAACTAAGAACTATACTTTTCCCCTCAAAGCCATGTGCTGTGACCTGATCCCCAGGGATGGAGTTAGAGGTGACAGGGTCCCAGGGTGACCCCCAGGGGCGACCCCCAGCCCGTGGAGTGCTGGTCCCTGCAGAGGCGCGACCAGTAGCTGCGTGCTGCCGCCCCGCCCCGTGTGCGGCTCTGGGACGGCCCACATGCTACAGCTGCACAGAGGTGGCCAGTCAGACAGGAAGGGGCAGATGGCACGCCTGGGGCGCAGGGGCCTCCTCTGTGCTGGGGGTCGGGCCTGGTGACACAGACTCCAGTGATGCCATCCTTGAAAGAAACAACCACATGGTCCCTTGAAGGCCCCAGACCCACCTGAGCTGCAGAATGTGGAGCACGGGTTGGGCCAGCATTTTTTCATCCAGAGGGGCAGGACCCCGGGCGTGCTCCACAGGTGTAGGTACGTGGAGATCCGGCTGGTCTGAATGGCCACCAGGTTGCCACCAACGCCTGCAAGACAGCCCGGTTTCCCCTCCTTGACGTCCGTGTCAGAGCCTGTCCCTTATTTTAGGTTCAACAACTCCAGGAAGCCTCCCTTGGCCGATTCAGCACTTGATTTCCTCTTTTCCTTGCACTTGACCACACGCCTTGTCTGTCTTCAGACCAGGCAGCCGAGACCTCGCGAGGGAGGCGTCCAGGCAGCAGCAGGGTCCCCTCGACAGGACACCTCTGAGTGGAGGAGGCATGACCAGCAGCCTCGGGTCTCAGTGGCTGATGCCCATGTGCAGGGCGCAGGGGTAGGGAGGGAGGGAGGGCTGGTCTCGGGGAGCCGCTCAGGAATGGTCCAGACTGTGGGCACGTCTGAGGGAACCTTGTGGCCGGAAGGAGAGGAGACGGGGCGGGGTGCACGCGGCTGAGCTGGGCTTGGGGGGCTCCTGGCGTCACCGGGAACTGAGCGTGCAGGAGCCACAGGTCTCCTGCGAGCGCAGGTCAAGGGTTGGCCCCTGGCCACGATCCCTCCCCTATTCTGTCACCGCAGCTCTGGAGGACCCCTCCCTGGGCCCCCCAGGGTGGAGGCCGACCACCTGGGCTGCTCTGGAGGACTCCCAGGACGGCCAGGGCCGAGGGGCCTGCAGATGGAGCCCGCGTGGCCCACTGTCCGGATTCCTGGTGGCGTGCCCCACACTGCTCACACGGGAGCCCGCCTGTGCTCCCCACCACCCAGTTCATCTCCTCGTGGGGCCCAGTGCTCGCCCCCACTGCAGACGCTGAGCGGGAACCCCGGGGGCCTCCAGGACGTGAGCCGCTACTTGCAGCCTTGCCGCTCAAGGAGAAGACAGGAACCCAGGCTTTTACTTGTAAATGTCAGTGAATCTAAGAGGGAAGCCGTGTGGGGCCCTGATGCCAGCAGGTGGGTCTGGGTGGTGGCCGGCAGGCGTGGGCTCAGTCCTGTCTTGGTGCCCCCAGGGCAGCCGTGCCCCAGGGGAGCCACTGAGGACCGCAGCCTGGCCTCCCAGCTGCGTTTGGGGCTGACCCTGAACCCGAAGCCCTGCGGTTACTGTTCTCCCAGCACCCCTGGCCCCAAAGCCCTCATGATGGCCACAGTACCTACCACACATGATGGGAGCAAAGATGGCCATGCCTCTGAACTGCGGCCAGTACAGGGTCTTGTTCAAGATAAGCCCTCCGAGGCTGCGGGCAGAGGGCAGACCATTAGCAGCACGGGTGCCCCGTCACCCCCCACCCAACCTCTCCTGCACCCTCTAGGCCCCCGTGTGCATTTACACCTGAGTCCCAAGTCCCGCCTCTCCGGGACACCCACTGAAGATGTCACCCCCTAAGAACGCCCCAGACCCTCCTCAGGCCCCTGAGGGGGTGTGGATGTGCTGACTCCCCGGAGACGCTGCCAGGGCCTGGCCTGTGACCCCGTGACCTCACAGAGACCCCACGGCCTCCGCTGCCCTCCCAGCGAATCAGCCAGGAGCGCACGTCAGAGAGGACGCGGGAAGGGGCGCGGCGCCCGGGGAGAGGACCCCTCCGCCCTGAGGGGCTCACCAGCGGCCGAGCAAGGGGACGACGCCCACAGAGCCGCGGACTTGGGGCCTGGCCCAGGGCTTCCCGGGGAGACGGACAGAGAGGAAGGTGCACCTGCTGACGAGCATCGCCAGGATGATAGGGAACCAGCCGAACTTGAGAATCCTCACAACGGGGGGGTTCTGCTTGGCGATGAGGACGCAGGCGGGGGTGAGCGCCGCGAAGCCGACGCAGACCAGCGGCATCAGGTACTGGCTGTCTGCGGGGGAGGGGGGCGGAGCTGGGGTGGGCCCGCTGTGGCCCGCAGGCGGGCTCAGGGCTCTACCCCCACCTCCCGGGAGCCAGGCGGCTTCTGCTTGCACTCAGCCCTGACACCGCGGCCAGCGCTGACCTCGGCACCCCGGGTGCCCGGATGCCTGCTTCCACCACCCACTCAGCCGGCAGAGACTTCAGCCGTCGGGCGCACCTCTGTGTCTGTAGAAGAAGCTGCTGACCACAGCCAGCAGGGAGAGCGTGATGAGGTCGCCCAGGCTGGCCGCGATGGGCGTGGCGATGTTGTCCGGGTTGACCCCCAGCTTCCGCGCGCCAACCACGATGCAGACCATCAGCGTCCCTGCGGGTGGGACCCGGGTGGCGGGCAGGGGCGGTGAGTGGGTGGAGGCCGCCTGGAATCTCGCTGCGCCCACCCAGCTGCTGCTCCGCAGGGTCAGGCCCTCGAGGCTGCAACTCTGCCTTGTAGCTCCTGCACTTGACACCAGAGCGGCCCCAACACTGATGGCCCTGAAGCATCAGGCAGGTGGCTTCAGGGCTCCAGACCCCTGGGGACCCTGGGCCTCTGGGGAGACCTGAACGCAGGCCCTGGAAGGTGTGGCGGCTTCGAGGGACGGGTCTTGAGCCTGCAGGCTCGGTCCGGGGGCTGCGCTGTGCCCCGTGTGCGCCCTTGCCCCTCCCTCCAGGGGCCACCTGCACTGCTGCTCCAGACCCCAGACGCCAGACCCCTCCCAGGCCCAAGATGGGCGGGTCCAGGTCACGGTGGGCATGAAGACTGAAGGGTACCCCAGCCCGTGCAGGACCCCGAGGGCCACTCACCCAGGGCGCAGGCCGCCAGGGAGGCGGTGAGGATGCTGCTGGCGCACAGCACCTGGGCCTCCACCACGTCCAGCCCCTGGCCTGAGGCCAGGCCCAGCAGCAGGGCTGCCACAGCCGCCAGGAGCCCCACCACGGCAGCCTGCACCTGTGGGCGGGGACCAGGCTAAGGCAGGCCCTTCCCTCGCCCCGGAGCGGCGACCAGCACCCACCTCAGCCCGATGCCCGGCCCACCGCCCTGGCTTTCCCCAGCGTCCCGTGTTTATCCTGGATCAGCTGCCCTCTTCACGGGTCTGAGCTCCAGCAGCACCCCCAGGACACGCCCTGGCTCGTACACAGAATTCCAGCCAGCGTCCCAGCATGGCACCCGACAGCTCATTTTACATTCGAGTGTCACAAAACGAGTACATATACAAGGACAGCCGTGACAGTTTTGAGAAAGAAGGTGGAAGTGGTATCTCTCTTGGGCATTTTCATCATGAGTATGTGTGTTTAAAAAGCTATAGGAATGAAAACTGGGTGGCTTGGCAGAAAACAGACCAACGGGTTGGCAGGGCAGAGCAGGGTCTGGGAAATGAATCAAGTATATAACTGTTCGTTATGATAAAGGTGCAGTCCCATCAGGATGGAGTAAACAGGGAACGAGAAACCACATGTTTGCTTGGGGAAAGGAAACGACTGACTTCTGTCATTCACACACATGTACCTAAACATGAAAACCTAAGCTGAGACATGAAAATATGGAATAGTACATGTTTCAGATTTTGGATTAGGGAAGGCCTCCTTCCTACAACATGCAAAATCTATAAAGAAAACTATAGATAAAGTTTATATGAAGTGCCAAGTATGACTTGTATGACAAGACCTGGCACAGAACAAAGACTGGGAGAAGCCACGTCCCTCCTGTAACTGGTGAAGGGCCCCTGCCAGGGGCTTCCCGGTGGTCCAGTGGAGTACCCTGCACTCCCAAGGCAGGGGCCTGGGTTCCAACAATGGCTGGGGAGCTAGAGCCACGTCATGCCACAACGAACACCTTGTGCAGCCAAGTAATTTTTTAAAAAAAGATCCGTATCCAGAACAATGAGTCCATTTCACAAGTCTGAAACAACCATAATGATAAAAGGATAATCTGATAGGACTATGCACAAGCGATAAGACAGGTAACTCACAGAAAGGAAATATGTGTGGCTAAGAAACAATGATCAGATCCCCTCTGTGATCCTTCCGGGAAACATCTAGAGCTGTAGACGGTTCTAACCCTGTGAAGGTGCCAGGAGTTCTTTTCAGAGCACCCCCAGTGCAGTGTAATTGGTGCAGCAGAAGCCTGTAACTGCAGGACAGCCCCCTCCCCGTCCTTGCCCAGGGCAATGGGTGCGGGAGGGGCTCGCCACACTGGCCGGGTCTGCACGGGCCCCGCAGAGCCCACCCCCAGCGGTTGCATGTCTGTCCTGCCAGTGACATTCCAGGCCATACCGTTGTCAAAATGCCAGTTGTCAAAAATTTTAAATGTGATTCTATATTTTTGTGATAGGATATGCTGAAGTTATCCAAAAAGCTTAATTATTCAGTGTGCAGCATCCTTTATGCTTTGATGTTAAGCTTTTTAAAAAAAACAGGAGACAAGATTGCATCCACGCTACACTGGGACCAAGTGCCCACCCAGGGCCTGCCTGGAGCAGGAGCGGATGGGATGCTGGTTAAGGAGGATTCGGGAGGAAACAGGAAAGGAGAACTAGCGAGCGTCACCGAGGCGACTGCGACCCAGACCCTAAGCCGGGGGCCCAGGGTGAGTCCTGGCCATAGAGCTCACCGTGCATGGAGCAGGCAGCCTGTCGGTAAGCGGCGGCCTTGCCTGCGGGCCCATGGCCCTGGTCCAGGTTCTGCGTGTGGCCACAGGCTGCCCCGGCCAAAGGAACTGGACACAGACGCGTCCTGTCCAGAGCCACGCAGGCCCACCCGGGCTATGAGACCGTGATTCCCTCCATGAGGAGGATGCACGGGTTTGCAGTGATGAGTGTGGAGCGTTTGGGGGCCAAGGGGAGGCTCACCTGGACGAGGGCGAGGTTACTGCTGACCACTCTGTACTGCTCCCGGGGGTCATCGATCTGCCCGGTATTGGCCTGGGCGGGGAGAGCAGCTGACGTGAGTCCCCTGGGCATGGCCAAAGGGGTGCCCCCTCCCTGGAGGCCCCGGCAGGTCAGCGGGGGCCCCCTCACTGCTGCCAGAGTGGAGTGTCCTGCGGCTGTCAGAGGGCGACTCGGGCAGTGGGGTGGGGACACGGGCCCCTGGAGACCAGGAGCCTCTCGCCCCGACCTGGGCCAAGCATCCTGCTCAGGAGAGGTAGTCCAGCCCCTCTTCTCTTGGGATAAAAGAATTCAGGCCAGAGACACGGTTTCCTCCTTGAGAAGCCGTCACCGCTCCCAACGTCGTGGCCTTTGCCGGCCAAATTCAAGACAAGTTAAGAAAAGCTTCAGAGAAACTGCATCTCTTGGCTCCTCTGTACTGAGCTCACTAAGTTACTGAATGCTGACTCCTCACTCCTTGTCTGTTCTTTTCCCAGTAAACACTCCAGGTTAAGAAAGGATCGACCTTCACTGTCCTCCTTCCTCAGATTGGAACACAGGAAAGACCTTTCAGGCTTTTATTTTCAAATAAATTGAGGCTTTGCCAGAGTTCCAGAGTTTGCAAGAGCCCCAAACCCCCATCGCCTGGCTTACCCTGACTCACGGCTCACGGGCTGCAGGTCAGCCCCCAGCTTCGTGACCGTGTGTCTTCACCGCCAGGCTTTCCAGCTCCGTCCAGACCCCAGATGCGGGCGTGACCGCCGAGTGACCCCACACGACCACCCCCGACCTCCCTGGGTGTTCAGAGCCCAGCCCCGGGGGGCAGGGTCGCTCACCGCGGTGGACAGCCTCGAGGCCAGCGTCATCTCCAGGTTGCCCTTCAGGCCCACCAGGGGCGGCACCAAGGTGAGCAGGTCCTTCATCTCCGTGAACACGGGCCAGTGCTGCAGGGGCGGGCGGGGCCAGTCCAAGCTCGCGACCGCGTGTCCCTGCCCCGGGCGCCCCCCAGGGCCCACCCCTGGGGCACCCCCTCTGCCCACATGGCTGCCGGGCCTCAGACTGTGCCCCGTGGCCCCGCTGAGGGCTGCTGCTCTTCCTGCCGAACGTTTACTGAGTTTTTCTGTAAGGTACCCCATTTATGGAAGTGTGCTTATTTCACGTAGTCTGTAGCTTCAGCACTGTCTGTCTTTATAGGGGACACTGGGGATTCCCCTTGCTCCAGACCTGAGCACCTGCTGTGATAGCAGCGCCCCTGTTTCCTTCTCAGCCCTCCCCTCGCTGCATCCGTGTCCTGGGGACAGTCCCCTTCACTCCTGCCCTGTAACCGCAGTCTGACGGACGTCCGCTTTCAGCATAACTGGGCTCCGCCTGCATGTCACCGCCCCTTCCCGACCTTCTACACGTTTGCAATCAAGGGGCTGGTTTCCTCCCCCAGGCAGGAAAGCTGCGAGGTCTAACAACCACCCCTGTTTGTCGCAACAGGCGCAGGCGGCTCAGCCCCCATGAGAGTCCCCACTCCAGGAGGTTGGCCGCCACGCGACCCTCCCGCCCCGGCCCACTCTTCGCGGACTTGCCCTGCCCACCTGGGGCTGCTCCCGGGCAAGCGCCCCCAGGCCGTGACCTTCCACCCCGACCCCCTCCTGCTGGGAGTCTCAGTCTCCCCAAGCCCACCCCCCACCCCACAGGGGGAGCAGGAGCTGAGCTGTCAGCCACCGCCTGTCCTCCCCCCAGGCGTCACCCTGGCCAGGACGTGGTCACGGCCAAAGAGGGTCAGGAAGTGGGGTGTAGACACGTCTGGGCAGGTGACCTCTGGGGGCTGTGCGGGGACAAAGCCAGCAACATCGGGCGCCGGCAGGATGGAAGGCCAGGGCCCCGGGCACCCAGGTCCAGGGGAGGGTCTGGCCTGGAGCCGCCTGTCCTGCAGACCCCCAAGGGGACCCTGGAGGCTCGGGGGTCTGCTGCCCAACCCCAGAGCACCCAGACTGGGCGGGGCTCCATGGCCGGCTTACGCCTGCCTTCTGGCCTGATGCCTGCCCCGGCCGTAGACGTCCCCTGGGCCCCCTGCCCCCCCCCCCCCGGGCTCCATGCCTCCAGCCCCCAGGTCCCCTGCAGCCTTGAGCCCCAAGTCCGGGTCCCATAGGCTCACAACAGGCAGGACAGTCACTCAGCCCTGACAACACCTCGCTGCAATTCCAGTCCCGCATACACGCTCACGTACCACAGACACACGCAGGAATGGGTGGGTATGCAGGGAACCTGGGCTGTGAGCTCTCGACCCGGCCGGCTCACCAAACTGCATGCTCCGTGCAGTTTCATCCCCCTCGTGCTGGTCCCCATGAAGCAACACGCGGTGTGTGCTTTAGAGCGAAGAGCCAGGATGGAGTCAAGAAGCCTTCGCCCTCAGCGTCTGCCTCTCGCCCGCCCCGGCCCGCTGCCCGCCGTCCACACACAGGGCCTCACCTGGAGTGTCCGCTGCTGCTCACGCCCCCTGGAAGCAGCACCCAGAGGCCCAGCACAGCGCCCGCCAAGTCTCCGACCCAGCCGCCTCCCCGCTGCCCTATCTGTGCAGGGGGGCCCAGTGGCCAGGACACAGATGCCAGGACGGTGGGGAGGCCTCCGTCTGCTCAGGGCTCAACCAGATGCCGACGACAAGTGGCCTTGTCCACGCGCTGGCACACGGCTCACCCCGATCCGAGAAGAGCAAACATGTGTCCACGGGGTTCCCGGTGCCCAGATGCGCAGTGGGCCCCAGAGAGGTCTGGGAGGAGCCACAGGGTCGGCAGCAAGGGGCCCACAGGGACCGAGGCCAGGGCTTAACCTCGTTTTGTGGGGAGAAACGCCGACTCCCCACTTGGGTGAAAACAGTCTTGGGACGATGCTAGCTGACACGCCGGCCCTCACGGGCCTCAGTCCCCAGACCCCCAAACAGGCTCCTGGCCCGAGATGGCATGGGTGACCCGGGCCCCGGCCCGTCACATGGCCACCCAAGGGCCTTCCGCGGGGCCGGCTGTCAGGCCTGAGGCCAGGCGTGTGTGGCTCCAGGCAGGACCAGCCTGCACACCCCAGGGCTGAGCCAGGCGCACCCCCCACCACGTGGGCTTTCCTCTGGGAGCCCCAAGGCTGTGGCTGGGGGCGGGGGTGAGCAAGGAGTGTGGAGCGAGGGAGCCTTCACACACTGCATCTGCCAAGGGGCGGGGGGAGAGGCTGTGATCTCCAGGGCCACTGGTCCTCCTGAGGGCGTCTGCCCGGGGCCTCCTCCCGGACGGGACCCCAGAGAGTCGGGAGGGGCGTCCTGCTGTCCAGCCGGGCTCTTCCAGGGTCCACAGGAAGGTGACCTGGGCGGTGACCCGGGGGCAGCTCCAGGGAGAAGCAGGAGGCGGGGACCCAGCTCCAGCTGGCCGCAGTTGAGCAAGGGCGCCATCCAGTGTGCACTGTGCATTGAGCTGGACGGTGGGGATGTCTGAGAGCCTCGCTCAGAGCCGGGGCCCCCGGGGGGGATGTCGGATGCCCCTCCAGCCAGGGGAGATGAGATGCCACCCGGCGTCCCCTTCGATGTCAACCTGAGTCGCGTCTGATGTCTCAGGTTAGGAAGGAGTGCTGTTCAGACGATCCCCCCAGGTGAGGGGTGACCCCCACCCTGCATCCTCACAGACATGCCCAATGTCTCCGCGACACACGCTCCCTGCCTCTGTGACCCAAGGGGGGGCTCCTGGAGCTGACCCAGCGTGCACAGACCCCCTGGCCTCCCTCCAAACACTCCCGATGGAGACCCCCCAGCCCGTCCCCTGGCCCGCCCGGACCCCTGCTGGGCTCAGCGCCCTGCCCTCCCCCTGAGAAGCCCCTGGCACCCTTGTCCCACCAGGCCAGCCCCGAGACCCTGCCCAGCTCACAGGCAGAGAGGCTGAGGCAGGGATGCCTGACTCCCTTCGAGGGGAGACAAAGGCAGGACTCGAGCCCCCAGGCCCCGCATCCAAGCCCTTCCAGCTCCCAGGCTGCCAGTCCACACAGGCTGACCGTGCAGGGGCGTCAGGAGCTCTGGAGCTTAGGTGCCTGCGTCCCTAGGAAGACACGCCTGCCGGCCCCCGAGCCGGACCCCCGCCTGGCTCTGGGGCCTGTCCTGCGTGGTCTGACGCCTGGCGCCCCCCCGCCAGGCCCCGCCGCCCCACACCCCCGTACGCACCTGCACGCGGTCCATCAGCAGGCCGGCCACCACCATGCCCAGGCCGGAGAGCAGCATGGGCACCAGGACCTGGCCCACGATGCTGGCGGCGGTCTCGGGGGGTGCCCCCCGGGGCCAGCGAGCGAGCTCGCAGCGCACGCCTCGCAGCCTTCTGCCCTGGAAGCGGAGCTCCAGGGCCAGCTGGGTGATCACCATGGCCGGGCTGGGACAGCCTCCCCGCTCAGGGTGCCCACACCAGGCCGTTTCTCCCAAGGGGTCCATGTGGGCGGAGCTGCCAGCCTTAGGGGTGGTCCTCACCGCCCCTCAGCCAAACCCGGAGAGAACGAGCGGGGAACAAAGGTGGCGACTCAGCCCGGGGTCACTCCTGCCATCCCCCCCGCGGGTCCGGCTCTCCCCCTACAGAGGCCGCGTGTCCTCCCCTGGCTAGCCGCCCACGCAGGCACGCCCTGTCCCCCTGGAGCGACCTTGATGGCGGCCAGCTGCCCGGCCCACGCTGGCCGGGGCTGCACCAGGGAGCTGGGCCACGTGAGGCCAGTCCGGCTGAGAGCGTGCAGGACCTGCCCTCCCGGCAGCTCCGGGCCCCTGAGGCCTGTCACCCCTCAAGGTCCAGAGGCCGCACCCCACGGCCACTCATCCCCAGTGTCCTGGGCTCACGGCCACAGCGAAAGGCGGCGTCCACAGAAAGAACGTGGCCCTGCTCTCCTGAGGGACGGAGACCCGGAGGGGCCTTCCTGGGCCCAGGCTCGTCCCGACGTGGTCAGACCAGCCCCGACCCCGACCCCGACCCCGACCCCGACCCCGACCCCGAGGAGAAGGGGGTCCTGCCATGAGGAGAATGAGGGTCCACTGTGCCTCCCAGAGGGGCTGGGGCAGCACCCAGGCCTGGGGGCCACAGGCCGCGGAGCCTGGACCTGCCCACAGCAGGCCTGACATTGGCCAGAGGGATGCCTGGGGCCAGTCTGGCCGACGCCATGGGAAGCGGGTGGACTCGTGACTGCGACAAGGACGGGACAGCCCACACGGCGAGCGAACTCGCAGGGTGAACAGTCCGCCGCAGACCCGGCGATGCCTCCCGCCCTTCACGTGCACACAGGTCACAGCCCGTTACCGTCTGGCCGACGCCATGGGAAGCGGGTGGACTCGTGACTGCGACAAGGACGGGACAGCCCACACGGCGAGTGAACTCGCAGGGTGAACAGTCCGCCGCAGGCCCGGCGATGCCTCCCGCCCTTCACGTGCACACAGGTCACAGCCCGTTACCGTCTGGCCGACGCCATGGGAAGCGGGTGGACTCGTGACTGCGACAAGGACGGGACAGCCCACACGGCGAGCGAACTCGCAGGGTGAACAGTCCGCCGCAGGCCCGGCGATGCCTCCCGCCCTTCACGTGCACACAGGTCACAGCCCGTTACCGTCTGGCCGACGCCATGGGAAGCGGGTGGACTCGTGACTGCGACAAGGACGGGACAGCCCACACGGCGAGTGAACTCGCAGGGTGAACAGTCCGCCGCAGGCCCGGCGATGCCTCCCGCCCTTCACGTGCACACAGGTCACAGCCCGTTACCGTCTGGCCGACGCCATGGGAAGCGGGTGGACTCGTGACTGCGACAAGGACGGGACAGCCCACACGGCGAGTGAACTCGCAGGGTGAACAGTCTGCCGCAGGCCCAGCGATGCCTCCCGCCCTTCACGTGCACACAGGTCACAGCCCGTTACCGTCTGGCCGACGCCATGGGAAGCGGGTGGACTCGTGACTGCGACAAG